TGATGAATTTACGTCAAAACTGTCAGGCGACTTCTTATAGGAGTTATTGCCCTTAAAAGAGAGTCAATTGTTTATTATGAACATAGACCTAGGTGGGTGACACAAGCTCTATAGAGCCTCTAGTTTATCTTTATTGTCTATTCTGTAAACTCCGGTCTTAAACTTTGTATATTCTATTTGAAAAAGAAATTAACTAGATATAGACAAGTGTTTTCTATGATAAGAAGTCTGGTGGAGTGATGTCTCTGTTGTAACAAAGTTCTTTTCACAATGAAAAAGTTTTCAATATCTTGTTTTGTCCTTCATTTCTTTAAGAAATGTCAGAGAACAGCATTTTGAAAGAAAAGAAGAGACTTGAAAAAAGGTTAACACAAAGAAATATCATACCTGCATCAATCTATATTACTAAAAAAACAAGGCACAAACTGAAAGATATATAATTTAGATTGTTAAGGGTTCTCGCATTAGCATATAAACTCTAACAAGTACAATGCATTTCGTATGTACTTTTCAAACTATTTATTTAAAAAATTTCCTAACCGAGAATTTGACATCACAAATATTCATACTATAGTCACTTAGACGCAAAAAAAAAAAAAAAAAATTTCTGCAATGTCTGCAAATATTTTAAGAATTGTTAATACATGTAAGTAGATATCAGTATCGTGGCCGATGCCGTTGCGCGCCTTCGGATTAGCACACAATCATGTAAATCGCCTTCCGGCTATTGCCTTCTTAATAATAACTCGGTAAATTATGATGTTCTAGCTTTTTCTTCTTCACGAAGCAGCGAAGAGCGGAAGAGAGCAATAATCATTAGATAAATTCAGAAGGATTGTTAAAGACTATTATTCAATATAAAATCTTTAATATTTTTTTTCGATTACAATTCGTTTAAAATTTTGTTTTCTATTTATACCATATTTTTTTTTTCTCAATTGCACTATAAAACAATCCTTTCCAAACCTGATTAATTTTTCTATATGGTCATAAGTCAAAAATAATCAAAAGTACAAAATTTTGCCGATGGGCTTTTTCATTAAAATAACTTAGTGCAACTATATGTAAAACCCTATACACACGACACAACAAATCGAAATTGACAAGATTACTGGTTTGCGTTCACATGAATTCGGGATTTAATTGCGTATTTGTGAATCCTGAGTCAAACCACTCAAGGGGTACAGTGTAGGTAGTTTGACATCCGATTTCATCGGACTTCGGATTCGATTCTAGAATAAATATACGCGTGAACGCAAATGTATATTCTAATCCAGAACATATCAATGCGCATGCTATTTTTTTTTTGTATCACTTGCATGAATATTCATTTAACTCATTTAATCTAGAATAACAGTTACACATTACGGAGCCACATGTTATAGTAGGGTGCCCAGTCAACAAATTTGATCGATTTGGGTTAACGGAATAACACACGGCTATATTTTATATCATTGGAAAGAGGAGAACAAGCCTCGTCGAAATATTGATGTCGTCGTTGTCTACAGTGGTCACGATTTTCTTAAATTTGGGTCAAAGGTCAAATCTAAAATTTTAAGGAAAACGTAGAGTCACGTTTAGACAGCTGGCCACCCCTACATATTTGCGTTTATAGCAAAATAAATTCGAATAATTCAAAGGATTATTATAGCAAAATAAATTCGAATAATTCAACGGATTATAACTGTAGTTTCTATATTTAGGAGTAATTTGATAATTTTATTGCCAAACATGGTTCGAGATTGACATTTGTACTTATAGGGTGCACATTTACAATTTTCATTCAGCTGTTAAATAACAGTGACCTTGACCTTTTAAAAGTTCCAAAATCGGAATTTTTACATGAGATTCGATACAAGTGATCTTTAGAGATGTTTTTTAGATATTAACATTTATTAGTTGCCCTCTCAAAATGTTATTTTTTCCGTCTTTTGATAGAAGGTGTTCGTCATGATTTTCTGGGTAAATATCCAATTTTCATTTGGTGAACGTGGAAGCACATCAAATAGTACTTAGTTCCAAAACTGATGAATATCAACGCAGAATAGATTGCATTAGCAGGTCTGAGTATATATTTGCTTTACAGAAATAAAAAAAAAACTGCAAACAGTGAAAAAGGGGGACGGTTTATGTTACAAGTTATGAAAACAAAATGAGAATTAGAAACAGCAGGCTAATCAATCCATCTTACACACTTATATCTAGTGTAATGTACATGACTTTTCGAACATAAATTGGCCTACAATTGACATGAAGTTAAAGATCATCTACAAAAAGAAAGTTTTGTACAGCATCGGTGTATTTTACAAACACTTGTAAACAACATCAATCTAATTAAAAAATAGATCTCTGATTTCGTTATCCTCATTTGAGCTTATATATAAGAGCGAGCGAGTTAATAAAGATCAGAATTTTAATAAGAGCGAAACAACATAGAAAAATTGCCGAAGCTAGTAGTAGCTATTACGTTTCATTGTCTACTGTTAAGTTGAAAAACCACTGACTACGTTTAGGTAAGAGGGCAAATTTCAGTTGTTCTTTTTTAAATCGCATTCGACGCAAGTAGCAGAATGCGAGGCATACAGAATACAATCTGATGGTGGTGGCGGCAACACCGTAAACTATTTGTATAGCTTTATATTTCAGAGGGCAGAGGAACTGGATGATTCATAATTTGTATATAGATCCATTGTGTTACGAAGTTTCCGTCATATAATCATTATCCTTGACCTCATATTCATGGTTAAGTGACTGCTAAAAAAACTGTATAGCTTTTTTCGTCATGTGAATGTCTAAATTATCATGAGTTCTAGGATAACTATGTTTGGTTACTAATATATGGTATCCTTGCAAGGTCTACATGACCGTCAGACATGATTCACCTGACCTCGACCTAATTTCACGGATCAGTGAATAAGGTTAAGTTTCAGTGGTCAAGTCCGTACAGTCTCAGATAGTAGTGGGTTAAATACATTTTGTGTATGGAATGGTAACAGGGTGTGCATGATTTTGTGGCAGAGTTCATCTGACTTTACCTCATTTACATGGAACATTGAATAGTGTTAATTTTATGTAATACTTGTTGTATAATATAAAAATTAGGAGATGTGGAAGCAAGCCATAATAGGCAACCTTACTGCCTTCGACAATGTGAAAAACTCATACCGTATGGTCGGCTATAAAAAGGCCAGTTATGAAAGAAATGAAAGAATTCATTTGGAAAAACCTAACGGCCTGATTTATAACAAAAGCTAGTTTTTACGGTCATGATGTTTATGATCATACTTTTCTCAGACTATTGATGACGTCCTTTCATTAGTTTTCAGTAAGGGAACACCCATTTGATTTCGAAAACAGGGAGGGGATGAGGATTTTAAAAATGAATTACTTGGCCTGGTATGAACTGAAATAATTGACTTTGCACAAGACAGGATGAACATGAAATGCAGGATAGTTGAGGATATGAATGTGTACAAAAGTGAAAATAAATTTTCGCGCCGCCAGCCCCATCCCTTTCTTCAGAATATAAAATGTTCTACCCTAACGGCGAGTACTATTATATTGGTACTTTGTGTTTTTTGTCTTCATGTTAGTTGTTTTTGTGCTTCATGCCGATTTGATAAGTCAAGCCATTTCAAACTGTTTTTTCAGCAGATTTTTTTTATAATGTGTTGTTATATCATTGTCCAGGTTAGGGAAGGGCTGAAGGATCACAAACATGTTTAACCCCTCCAAATTCTGTATATGTCTGTCCAAAATCAGGAGCCTGCAATTAAATGGTTGTCGTTGGTTGCTGCCTGTTGTATCTGGGTTTTTTTTTTTGCACGAACGTTGGTATATTTTTGTTGTCGTTCCCACCGAGAGGGATTTAGGACGAAAACATCATACAAGACTTTTGATGTGCCATATTGCGGGTGTGAAACAAAACCGACCGATTTGATTCTTATACTACAATTATAACAAAATATTTACTCAATAAAAAGTTTAAAGTTTTGAAAAACAGACACCAAACAGATTTCTCCGAACAAAGTGACAATCTACAAAGTTAGCTGGCTATTCACAACAAATAAATCAACCACACAACAAGCAAAAAAGACAAATGTTTTGAGTGACCTCTGTCCTTGTTAATGACCTAATAGTGTAAGCAACAAAAGGATTTATGGCACGAGATAATCCGTGTTTAATCAATACCAAAATGTTGACTTAATTTGTGTTTTTAATTGCTAATTTCTTCAAAACGATTTTTATTTCACGCATGCAATTTGGCACACACATGCATTCTGTCTTATTGCTTAAATCAGAGTAAAACATATTGTGATGATACACGTAATAATTTTGCTTTCTATGAAAATAGGGTAAATTTCGAGTAAATTTTTACTCTTACTAAAATGCTAAATGCTGAAATACTTGTATCAAAATCACTTAATTACTTTCCGATTTCGTTATATGATATATTTAATATATAAACTATATTATAGGTACTGTTTTAACTACCAACAAAGAACGCAATAATTTTATTTTTTATGTTAAAGATTCCCCGTACAATACGGTATCTGGTGGTACCCTGTAAAAACACGAAATTTAGAAAATCGTGACCACGGGAACTTACGACGACAATCATGATTGTAAAATATATTGATTTATGTGCAAAAAAATCAGCCGTGTGTTATCCGTTAACTTAAACTCGTTAACTAGAAGACTTTTTGGACATTTGGCACCCTACTATAACCGCAAACTAGATTCAATGCCGCCATGATAAATCCAGATATACTTCGGATTTCATAATAACCGATTTCAATGTAGCATGCGTGTTAACAGGGTTCATTAAAACATTTTTTTTTTAGTTCAAGGTTATTATACAGCTCCATGATCGAGTTACAATGATTCGCGAAAGATTACATAATAGAACAACAGAACAGATTTTGTTATTTTTAAAGTTTAAACGTCTTTTATCATGACGTTAAAACTTTAAAAATAAAAAAAAAAAGTTCTGTTGTTATGTCTGTCGAATCAATATACACTTGGTATGCATTTCAAAAATCAACAGGTAAATTACTTGTAGACTGAAGGTCCTGTCAATATGGTGTCTTATAGAATATCCGTTAAAACTGGAGACAAAAAGGGAGCGGGGACCGATGCCAATGTATATGTTATACTGCATGGAAAAGGTACTAAGACAAGCGAGCACAACCTTGATACTTTCTTTAAAGATGATTTTGAAAGAAGCAGCATTGATACCTATTCAGTTGATTCTGATGTCAACATACCCGAAGTTCAAAGAATCGAGCTATGGCGAGACAATAATGGTTTGCTGAGCAACTGGTATTTAGATTGGATTGAGGTTACCAACATGGCAACTGGTATCACGTCTATATTCCCTGCGATGAAGTGGATCAAAGAAGACAATCATTACTTTTTCAAACACATAGACACATGCCTACCACAAGATGATCCTTTCAAAGATATGAGAATGCTTGAATTACAGACTATACAGAAAGACTATCAGTTACAAGTGAAAGTGCCTGGACTACCTGCTCAGGTACGTGTCGTTTTTGAATTATTTTGTTTAAGATAATAATGCGATACAAAACCCATTTGTACAGTTAGTTACCATAAAAACGATGAATAAGATAAAATGCGATTGTGTAGTTAAAAAGCTCTAACATTTTTTTTTTAATTGTCAAATAATTGCCCTTCAAATGTGAGAACACTGAAACGGTTATGCGTTAAAAGGCTAAAAAAAGTTTAAAATAAAAACAAATGACTAAATGTTAATAAACGAAGACTAAAACTGATTGATAATATTAAACCCAGCGAATTTCCAGTCGATATTAGAAAGAAAGCTTGGATACTCGTTAAAATGTTTGGCTGCTTAACGCTACTTTTGTCTAATTTGAAAAATACAAGTACTGAACAATAAAAAACAGGGACAAAAGCTGTGCGTGCAATATAAACGATTCTAAAACTTTGTTGTCGTTTTGTATTGAAAATTTAAAAAGAAATAGTTATCTGTCTGCCACCTCGACCTCGTCAAATTTTACAATCTTTTCAATTGCTACTCATAAAACTGTTTAAAGATTGTAATATCTAAAAGATTTATAACTAAACACTCAGACACAACTTTACGTATAACATGATTTCAAATAGAGAACAAATTAAACATACTAGTCAAGTCAATTTAGTTGGGGGACGACCATTTGATATTGTTAGGAGGGAGGGTCTGGATGGTTTTCACCTGTTGCTTGGCTGGCTTATTTACTTTCGATTTTGAACACAACTATTTCAGAAAATGACGCGCTTAACATAAATTTGTATAAAAGTTACAGAAAAAAACATGGATCTATATATGTCACGAACAAGGATAGGTTTTTGTATTAAAGTTCCTTTCTACCGATTATAAACAAATCTTTAAACTGTAATGATGTTAATGATGTTCGGTTAGGTTCTGTAGAACCTTTTCATGTGCTTCCTAAAGATACTCTATGTAACGTGTTTATTTTTTCAGAACAAAAAAAGATCATTTCATTTACATTTTCTATCCTTCCTTATTACATTGTCCGAACGTAAACCAGAATGATTTATTATTAAAAGTCTGCCATACTTTAATAAAAAGTATATTTGGTGCATTTTGCAGGTTAAAGAATTACCAGATGATGAACGTTTTTCATTCGATTATAAAGTGAGTATTTGATTTTATAAATATAATAAAAGACCACCACCAAAAATTGCGGGAAAATATGATTATTTCCAAATTCACAATGTCAGCTGATAAAGAACTCGTAGTAATTATTTTTCAGAAAATAAGTTGACTTCTGTCGTCAAGATCAGATGCTTTATTCCGTTTTTCATGGACTCAATTTTGCTAGTTTAAGATAATTTGTTTTTCCTTGAAGAAAGTTGTGATGTATTGTTGGTAAATTTAGTTTTTTCGACCAATCTCTTTTTGTTTCTTTTGGGTATTTTATGGGGCGTTTTTGTTTTGATATGTTGTTGGTTTTAGTCATACCTTTATTGACCATTTGCGTGCTTACATGGGAAACAAAAATATTTACACATATCCAAATCAGATGACGGGAAGGACATTCAGAGAAAAAAAAATTCACAAATTTCCCCAGATGATTATATTTCCCCTACATGACACATTTATATCTGAAACAATTCAAAAGTGAACATAAATGGTCTGATAGTTGCAGGTGATCATGAGTTGCAGAATTGGAAATGAATCATTTGTTTTATATCATATTAAATGATACTATAATAATAACCAAAAAAAGGAACTGCATTTAGAATTTTTAAAGATAATGGATTGGATGATATTATTAACTGATAAGGTCATGTAAATTCTTCAACAGTTCAACATAGGAATGAAGACTAAAATATATGCAGATGAAAGTAAGAGATTAGTTATGGCCCATGGTTACAACTGGAAGGATGCAGATGACGTCAAGACTGTGTATACGCCAGTCTTTGGTGTCCCACAGGTAACCTCTAACATTAAACATACACACCTTACATCTCAACTCAATTCACCATACCCAGTCTATTTTTCTTTTTTAATTCGTTTCGTTTTTTTTTTTTTTTTTTAACTTAAGATACGATTTTCGTGCGTTTAACACATATTTCGAGTCTAACCTTCGTCTGGTTTGCTCCAAGCCCAAATTTTGGGAAGCCAAAAAAACAAATACGTTTCAGGACACAAAACAATCCAATTTTCTTATGCATAGCAAACAAAATCGTCTGAGGTTTTCTAATTCTGTACAACCTTGACACCTTCCTCATCTACTCGGGCTGGAAGAAATTTATCTAACCATTTTCCTTCTCCACATATACAATGTGTTTTCTTTAGATAGTTCTAATGACTGAATCTTTCACCACCATGCTTGTGTCAGATGAAAACGACAACTCTTCTTCGAATTAAAATAAAACACAATCTGTGAAAAAAAGACTTTATGAATCTGTTGGGTCCGAAGCGTTTTTCTGCATTTACCTTCATCATGAATGCTGCCCAGCGAACGAGTCAGAAAGGTTTCATATTATTTCGAGTTTGGCAGAATAATTTCTGGTCAAAAACATAAATGTCGTGTCAAACATTATGGCGTGGGGTATAAGCCTGGTGTGTCAAAGTTCCTAAGTCCATGTTGAGTATACATGTATTTAAACTAAAAAAGAATAAGAATGAAATTTAATGAAAAGCCGAGAAGAGGGATACAGGAATATGAAAGATTGGTAATAATTTTTTTCAAAGAAGGTTTAACATTTTCCGCAGCAATCTATACTATGTCCTCTGTTTACAGGGTTCAGAAGAATATTTTAATGATGACGCCGATTTTGGGCGACAGAGACTTGCCAGTTTGAATTCTTCACTCATCACACTGTGTACAGCATTACCAGAAAAGTATATCACTACACATATTTTAAGATAATTAGAACTGTGATAATCAAAACTAATTCAAATAATATTAAGAAAGACCTTTTGCTAATTACAGACTTATTATCTTCTTTATATTGAAAAGAAATTTACTTTTTCTTAATGTTTTATATTGAAAAGGGGTGGATACACTAACAATGAGTTCGTATTACAAGGGACACTTTTTAAGTGTTTTATATATATGGTAACTTCCGAGAGGTTTGCTCTTTAGTGTATATGTTAAAGGGGTTTCTAGAAACATGCGTTTTTATCACTTAATTTATTATTATTATTATTATTATTATTATTGAAACATGAATGACACGAATCATAACCGAGTAAGTGTAATATTACTTTGGAGTTTGTAAAAATATCCGTGAATTTTAACGTGCATATATTAAACAACATCATTTTCTTCAAGAAAGTGTAATTTAAATTTTTAATATCTTCACAGGTTTGGAGTGACTGAAAAAATGGTAAAGCAATTTTTGGAAGGCAAGACGTTAGGACAAGCCATAGATGAAAAACGGCTATTCATCATTGACTTGGCGATCTTAGAAGGATGCCCTGCAAAGACAGAGGACATTATTGTAAGCTATATTGATATTGTTTAATTCATTTGTTTAGATAAGAAAAAAATAACAAGATCTATTACATTTATCGATCTACGTCCCACTTATGTAACTGCAAAATCAGTAATCTAAAATGTATACTCAATGCACTTTGAAGTAATTATACTATATTGTTCTTTAGAGAACAGTTTTAAATCTTTTATTTCTTTTAATTCCTTTAGATTATATTATGTTTTATTAGATTTTAACAAGCAATAACGATTATATTATAAAGTATTTTGGGTATTACCGACTACCATTAAGAAGTAATAAGTTTGTCTCTTTTCATAATTTATGGTGTCAATAAATTTTAATGAGGTTTTTTTTCAGATAAGATATTAGATAAACAGCACATGTTACTATATGAAAACAAACAGCCCATGAAAAGTGACGAATTTTACAGTTATATATATAGTTTTCATATTTAACTCTGTTTTTTTACCCCTTTTAGATAACTTGTCCGTTTGCTCTGTTCTATTTCAACAATGCCAACCATCTTATGCCGATAGCTATACAGTTATTTCAGCAAAAAGGACCAGATAATCCAGTAAGTTGATTGATTTATTTACATATTCTTCTTTTTTATTCTTCCTTCCACTATCTGGAGTACCACTACTTTTGTAGGGTAATACGGGAGCAACCTTACTGTAAGCAATTGTGTGCATGTGCAGGAAACAATGACTGTAAGAATTTCAGTGCACAAAACCAGTATGATTACACCTAATTTTTTAATATCGCTTCCTCTCACTGTATATCATGACACATATTCGTGGCTTCACACTTGGAAAGCTTACTTATTGCTCAACTAAAGCAAATTAGCATGAAGAAAGGCGAAGCATTGTTATTTTAATTCTTGGCTTCGTCATCGCATATTTTGTATTTGAATGGTTTAAAATGTACAGCCAACTATTAATGAAGTGTTATTACTTTCCACATTTCCACATTGTTATCCTTTCTCTGCTTCATGTTACTCTATATAGATTGTGTCCTTTTGTAGAATAACGAAAAGTTTATTATTATGCTATATGCTCCCTTCTTACTGTATTTTGTATGATAAACTTTATAACAAACATGACTTCAATTTTCCATTTGTGAACTTTCAAATATTCGGATTTGAGCGTTCCTGATGAAGGTAAATCCAGAAAAGCGCTTCGGACGCATGAAATTTATAAAGTGTTGATTTCTTTTTTTTTTCAAAATGTTTGTACATATACCAACATCCCGACAGCATATATAGTATAAGTCTATGGTTATTCAAATTCTAAGTCTATTTATATTATTCAGTTCAGATAATAATTTTTGAGACTTTTACTAATTAATTGATATTTTTTTTAATCCATTTTTTCTATCCAATTTGGTGAAGTTTTTAGAGTCTTGCATTTTTATATCTGATTTGATTTTGAATGCTTTTAAATGTATTTTTACTTTGCAGTTTTGTGTGTGTACAAATTTGTGTATGATTTTTAACATGTAAAGCGCTAAGAGTAATTGTATTCTTATATAATGCGCTTTAAAAATGTCTTGTAATAATAATGATAGTAGTTCCAATACACGATACCGGTATAATCTATCATTTTAAAAAAATGTCTGGACTTTGATATATTCTTTTTATATAACAGGTCTTCCTACCATCCGATCCAGTGTACACGTGGATGTTGGCAAAGATGTGGTACAGTCTAGCTGATGCTACATACCATCAAGGTCTTACTCATTTGAGTACGTAGTAAACTATTTTACAATAGACCTGCTGCAATATATACCAACCTCTCATTCTTTGAAAAAATTATACAATATTGTACATAAGGAAGGATTTGTATGCCCCTCCATAAATGTTTACCCTTGTCCGACCGTACGTACGTACGTACGTACGTTAATACGTCACAACATTATTTCCCGTTCTCTAACTTTACTTTGCCTCAACCAAATGTTATGAAACTTATACACAATGCTTATCACCATAAAACAAAGATCAAGTTTGAATTTAGGTTGCGTGACTTTACCGTTCTTGAATAGTGTCCCTTTATAATGTTATATGCAAGCGGGGGCATCATCTATGTCCCATGGACACATTCTCAATTTATTTTTTCATAAGCTTAGGTCTTATGCCACAAAATTCATGTAAAAAATGTATAAAGGGTATGATATCCTGGCACATCCAACATGGCTTCAACGTCTTACTCTTTGTGTTCGTAATAAAAGTGTAAAAATACATGGTACAAAACGACTGGTGCCACATATTTACAACAATCGTGTGAATAGTCATGGATGTATACATGCTTTACAAACCTTTACTAAATTCTATCATAGATACAAATATTTGGTTTGGAAGTTTGGCTGTACCTGTAGAAAACTTATTACAAACGGGATAGCACATCCTAATGTTCACGGAGATGCTGTAAATCGAGCCTAGAAATAGAAACGATCCGGGTAAATTTATCGATCCTTTAAAAAAACTTATTCTAAAAGGTTAAAAATTTTACACTGTAAAATGATATCTTTGAATATTGTTTTTTATCGGTATAGATATTGTGTTTGTTATCAATAATTTACCATCTATCTAAATATTATTGCTATACACCTATGAACATTAAAAGTCCTACATTCTGTCGATAAAAATATTTTGGCATTTCACAAGGTCATGTTTTTGTCTGACTGTTTTTGACGTAATTGCACCTAATCCATTGTATGTTGGATATCTGCTGATTGATTTTTTAGTCTTAGATACTAGTACATGATTTTTTTATTATTATTTGTTATTACCAACGTGCGAGACCCTCATGGGTAGTGAAGGGGTTGTTAAACAATCCCTAGTAGTATTAGTTTTTATTGGCTTTGAACTAGCTTTTAGTAACTGCGAGTACTCTCAGATTTTTTCTTTGTGTCCTTTGTGTTTTTGATAGTTGATTATTGCGCTTTGTAACGATTTAATGAGTTAAGCTCTTTTCAACTGATTTTTATAGTTTGTTCTTATGTTGTGTGTTCCGTTACACCACTGTCCCAGGTTAGTGGAGGGTTTGGCGCCCGTAATCATGGTTAACCCCGCCAGATTCTGTATCTGCCTGTCTCAAGTCAGCAGCCTGTCATTCAGTGGTTGTAATATGCTGTTGTATATCATATTTGTTTTTTCTTTATTGTTTTGAACATAAATCAGGCCGTTATTTTTCTAGTTTGAATTGTTTTACATTTATCATTTCGGGATCTTTTATAGCTTGCTGTTTTTGCTCATAGTTGAAGGCCGTACGTTGACATATAGTGTCTTACTTCTACGTCATTTGGTCTCCGGTGGAGAGTTGTATCACTAGCAATCCTAACAAATCTTCTTATTTTTATAGTTATTAGCTATATGGCCAAAAGAAACTCAAAACACAGACCGAAACCGTTAAAGGCCCACTTTAGTAAGATGTTGTACATAAGGCATGATATATCCTGGCTAGAGCGCTGTTAATAAAGGTTAAAATGCTTTAGCACATTTAACTATGATATAAAAATGTATATATATATATAAGGCATATTGGTTCATTTAATATATATAATCATTTCATAATTTTGTAAAGAAAATGTTAAAAACTATGCGGAAATAGATAAATAAACATTAAGTTTCAGTTGTTTACTCTGGCAAGTTCAACCGACGTCCCCTTCTTTTCCTATGGCAAATCAAACATAAAAATTGTTTTTATATTTGACCTTTTAAGCATGCTCTGTGTTATCATAAAAGTGCTTTACTTTTCTAAAACATTTCATCATAACGCTAATTGATTTGAGATTGCATTGATTTTATTATAATTCCTACTTGAGCTTTTACCCTTTTATACGACGAAACAGTTAAGCTATTGTTTACTCACTTGTCTTCCTTGCAACGTTATAACAACTGACAATAAAAGCTATATAACCAATACAATTTTAAATCTCTATCAGTGGGATAAAAAAATGAATTGAATTCTTATACAAATGACTGAGAACCTCAAAACTTAAAAAAAAAGCATAAAATGATTACTGTTTTTTTTCTTTTCAGATTTTACACATTTCATGATGGAAGGAATATGTGTTGCGACAAAGCGGAACCTTTCACCATCGCATCCAATCCTAAGATTACTTAATCCTCACTTTATCTATCTAATTGCTATAGATTTGTATGTATATCATTATTTGATTTTCAAATGAAGTATGTAGCTCACATTTTCCCAGACAAAAGCGTAAACACGTATTACAGTGTAGTAGTTTGAATTGAAATATAAACAGGTTACCTGGATTCAGTGTATTGAAATATAAACAGGTTACCTGTATTCAGTGTATTGAAATATAAACAGTTTACCTGGATTCAGTGTATTGAAATATTACTTACTACTCCTCTTGTAGTTTAAGATTACTTACGTACACGAAAACCATAAAGACTTTTCATAAAGAAGACTATTTTTTTGTGGTGAAAAGCGTCCTGATAAAGCGAATGCTCAAATAACTTCTTTCAATACGGTACGGAAATATTACTTCCAAAAGCTTTATATTTTTCAGCCGTGGTCTAGGTACTCTGGTTAACCCAGGAGGTTTCTTTGACAAAACTTCAAATGGTGGAATTAATGCTGCCTTCCACTTAATGAGAAAGAGGTGAGAACATTTAGAATTTCCTCTGATGTCTGGAAAACCCTTTTAAAGAAAAATGACGAATGAAAGTGTTTGTTCTGCTTGTAAAGATATTTTATTAATTTCAAATACAACAAAAAAGGTATTTTTTTAAATTTGATATATAAAAGAAAGATTCATCTATCTATGCTATCTATGCATTTTTATGCACCTGTCCTAAGTCAGGAGCCTGTTTTTCAGTGGTTGTCATTTGTTGGTGTAGTTCATAAATGTTTCTCGTTTTTTATATAGATTAGACCGTTGGTTTTCCTATTTGAATTGTTTTACACTAGTCTTTTTGGGGCCCTTTATAGCTTTCTGTTTGGTATGAGCCAAGGCTCCGTGTTGAAGGCTGTACTTTGACCTATAATTGTTTACTTTTTTCACATTTTGACTTGGATGGATAGTTGTCTCATTGGCACTCATACCACATCTTCTTATTTATATTAGAAGTCTCTTAAAATGCTTGCATTTTGTTAATTAAGCTATATGTATATTCTATTTAACATGTTTAACTTATTTGGTTCATTGTGTCTAGATTGGGCCTACTTTGTACATATTAAGGAATAAATTATATTACTTTTCCACTTTACAACTTTAGCATGGATTTCTGGAGATTGGATTTGAATGGAACTTTACCAGAAAATTTAAAGAGCAGAGGGGTTCGTTCAAATAGATAATATTATTTTGAAGGATAAACGTAGGAAGGGAAAATTAAAATCTTAGGACAAAAAAGACATATAACACTAAAATAAAAGAAAACAGCGCAAAGATAAGCAACTGTCTACGAACACTACACAGTCAGAATAAAGCAATACAAATCCTATTAAATATGGAGTTAATTCATATGGTCTCAACGTGAACCTATTCCTGCTATAGAAGTTTCTCCCTTCGTCTTACCCATACTTGGTGATCGCATTAGGTAATAAGCCACGAATGATGGAATTGTGTTTACAAAAAATGGAACATATAAGTATGTGGTTATCTGTAACACAGTTGTTCCATTAAGGTGCGCCGAGGTATAATTGTTTTTGCCATTTCTTATAAAAATCAAACAAAACGAATATAAAATGAAGGGGATACAATGCGAAAAGGTTACAAATTGATAATTTTTGATAGATTATTAAAAAATGTGCATTATGATTTGGTTTTTTATTTTGTTTGGTTACAAAATCTGAATTTGTTTTCAAAACTGAGGTAGTAACAATATATTAGCTATTTTGGAACTTGAGTAAATATGACACTTTTTAGTTCTTACATTCCTTTTTCCTCGTAGAATTGAAGTTTTTAGTGCTAGTGTAATTGTAAAAAATCATTATGAAATTTCACTAATGTACTTATGCATAAATATACGGATTTATTGATATGTAAGAATTGTCTTACCAACAAAAATTTTTCTTGTATTTTGGTTTCATGATGACTTAAACGTTATTATTTAATTATTATATCACTAAAAGCTTCAGAATGTTGATGGCGTAGCTTTTCGGTGCACATTTGTACGTTACCAGTTCAACAGCTTAATGACACTGTAGGCCTTCAAATTACATTGTGTACAAATAGCTATGAAAGTCTCAGACATGACAAATTGGGAAACTATTATAATGAGAAATTATTCTGAAACAACAAACGAAATACACATACGGTAGACATCAACACACAATAACAACTGAAATACAGGTTCCTGACTCTGAAAAGGGACATAAAGAACTTATCAGGCTTAAACATGTTTTTTGTGCGCTTATTCCTTTTCCTAACATGGGACAGTGGTGTAACAGCACAACATAAGAACAAACTATAAACACCAGTAAGAAAAGGCTTGACTCACCAGATCAGCACTAAGCACACACAAAACCCTAACAAAAGGAAAAAAACACACGGAACAGATCTAAGGGTACTCATACTTATCGCAGGGGTATCATTAGTAAGCAGTAAGCTTTTTTCATTCTTGGACAATGAATTTTGCCATAAGAATATTTCATTATTTAAAGCCTTTGTGTTAATTATCATTTCTTAAATAAATTTCGTCAAGTGGGGTCAACGTACAAACGCAGTTACCTACATGTTTATTGAAAGTCGGGGAACGTTTGACCCAAATAGTGTAAGCATATACTTGTTACGAAAACTTTTTAGTGTTGAAAATAATTTAAGAATATGAGATCTCACTGCAAATGCATACATATCGGACGAATCGAGAAATATACGTTTCGTATGAAAAACCTGACGAACATTAACTCCAAGTTTTAAAAAAAGATACAAAGGAGATGCAAGCCTTAGCGCTGGTCTTAAATGTCTGTACTATTTTTACAGAGTAGTGTGTATAAATGGCATTGCTTAGTTTACAAACGTGTGGATTATTACTAGAGGATAGTTGAAATATTTGCTAGTAAAAGTACAAATAGTGTGCATGAAATGGGATTCATTAACTGCTAAGCCATCAACTTTAATACTCATAAGTGTTTGTTATGATGCTGAAAAGAATAGATTTTTTTTTAATTATCAAATCCATAAGGTAAACACAAAAAATACTAATGAACAGCCATTTCAGTATGAAGCAGAATTCATTCAGAACCTTCTAAAAGACAAAAAGAAAAAGCACCTTGCGAAATTCTTTAATTTTACTTTCAGATATGTTGATGATGTCCTATCATTGAATAACTCATATTTCAGCCAATACTTGCATCTCATATATCCCAGTGAACTTGAAATTATGGATACTACTGATACTAGAAGGACTGTTTCATACCTTGATCTTTTCCTCAATATTGACACAGATGGACGACTTCACACGAAAATCTATGATAAACGGGACGATTTCAATTTCCCAATTATCAATTTCCCATTTCTCAGCAGAAACATACCCGCTGCCCCTTCGTATGGTGTTTACATACCTCAGTTGATACGTTATGCTCGTGCATGTTCACACTATACGGACTTCATATTAAGGAGTGTGCTCCTAACGCAGAAACAGCTCCAACAAAGTTATGAGGAGGACAGATTAAAAATGACACGCCGTAAATTTTATGGACAGTATGAATTATTTTATATACTAAGGATTTTCTTATCCCAGGCATATAACCTTAGCCGTATTTGGCACAACTTTCGGTCCGCAATGCTGTTCAACTTTGTACTTGTTTTGGCCTTCGAACTTTTTTGATCTGAGCGTCACTGATGGGTCTTATGTAGACGAAACGCGCGTCTGGCGAATTAAATAATAAGCCTGATACCTTTTGATAGCTATTATTTGTGGGTGTCTCTGTCCTGTTTATTCTCCCATTTATTTGTATTGTATTCCTGTCATGTAATATTGTCATTTTAATGTTATATTTAACATTGCCATAAAAGCGGGAGGTTTGGCTAGCCACAAAACCAGGTTCAACCCACCATTTTTTTCTAAAAATGTCCTGTACCAAGTCAGGAAAATGGACATTGTTATATTATAGTTCGTTTCTGTGTGTGTTGCATTTTAGAGTTGAGTTTCTGTTGTGTCGTTGTTTTCCTCTTATATTTGTTGTTTTTCCCTCAGTTTTAGTTTGTAACCCTGATTTGTTGTTTTTTTTTCTCAATGGATTTATGAATTTTGAACAGCGGTATACTACTGTTGCCTTTATTTATTCGGCGCTGAAACAATAATTTTCACGGACATATCATCGGCAGGCGTCTGTTAAGTGTTTATTTACTCATCACGAAATATTTTGTTTTTGACATTATATGAAATTAATGCGTAATACACAAGTGCTTTATTTTTAGGTTTTGGAAGAGTCTGTTTTAAAAGGCGCCTATCATATGAGGGAGGATGGGCTTCTCCTTTATGATGCAATCAAAACATACGTTCAGAAATATGTAGCTCATTACTACAGTAAGTCCTTTGAAATTCTTTTTAAGTTCTACTGTTAAGAATATGAAATGATTTTTTTGGGAAAACTATGAAAAAGATTTTAATTTTTGCACTTCAATTATAACATGTCTATAAACCAATCCAACATTAGCAACAGTGTGTGTCTGGCATCACGAACTATTATAGTGTGTCTTTCATACTTGAATGTCATCAGTTTGTCCTTCATAAATGCATGATTGTCTCTTTCGTCAATGTGTCTTTGATGATTGAGTTCCATACCCTCTTTCTTACAGCATTAATTTCTTGCAACAATTAATATCTCTTTCCTAAATGATAATTCATGTTTGTTGATAACAAAAACGCAACAATAACAATGTAAATTGGTCCAGTCATCAGCAATGGCCAATAATACAATTTTTTAGGCAATATTCATTGATACTCAACATCATTTCTGTTGTTACTTTAATTGTTTGTATTTTTCACCAATGTTTGTTCTGATGTACAAACAAACTGATCAAAGATACCAAGCTTATATATCTGTACGTCAAACGCGCATTTTGTCTGCATAAGATTCATCAGTGATGCTCGAATAAAAAGAGTTAAGAGGCCAAATAAAGTAAAAAGTTTTAGAAAAGAGAGGGAAAAAAATTCGAAAGGTTTCGCCAAATACAGCCGAGGTAATCTATTCCTAGGGAGGAAAATTCTTAGTATCTCCAGCAATTCAAAGGTTTGTGAACAATTAATTTATTAACATTACCATATCAATGATAATTTATTTCAACACAGAAGTGCAGCCTACATGAACTGAAACTGCTTTAATTTTAAATGTAATACTAAAAGTTAATATCAATAGGTATTACGCCCATTTGTCTGTGTTTTAGCCGTACAAGGTTCACTGAAGGCTGACTATGAAATACAAAACTGGGGCGCAGAAATTGTAAAGTCAAGAGATGATGGTGGTGTAGGAATTTTGGTTTGTAATTCCCACTTTAAAGTATTGTATTTTATATATTATATAGTTCTTAATATTTTGAAAATTGTTGCCACTGGTCGTTAAGTTGATACATATCTGTGAGTCAAATAATTAAGCATAACATATTTTCGAATCTGACGATAATTTTTTTTCTCTTTGTGCATTTAAAAAAAGTCATCTAGACTGTACGAAATTTAATCTATCTCTGTGTTTGTTGTATATTTTCTGGATTTCGCTTCATTAGAAACTCGCAAAGAAACAGTTTGGGAAAAAAGTTTTAAACATGAGTTGAGAGCTATCGGACCATAAAAAAATATAGTAACCAGAATCATCTATGGTATCAGTGACTGCATACAAAATTATTCAACGAAGAATTAATATAAAAAAATGTTTGCAATACATTATCATAAATGTTAAAACGTATTACTACATGGTAGATATATCTTTGAAGACTTACAATTTAGTTAGTAATCAGCAGTAATATTAACTCAGTTAAAATGATTTTAAGTCTAAGATATTTAATTGTTGCCTTCTATGCGTATAACGCAAAGGTCTATACACTAAATTCAAATGGCAGTATATTGTCTAAAGACTTTTTCATTTGGTTTAGTTACCACTCATTGGGAAAAGCAGATTGTATAAAAAAAAAATAACATAGTGTATTACAAATTGCAGGGTGTTCCAAATAATGGCCAATTTGAAACAACTGACCAGCTAGTGGTGACATTGACAGCCATTATTTATACATGTAGTGTTGCTCATGCTGCAGCCAATTTCCAACAATATGACGAATATGGAGCTCCATTTAGATTCCCGTTTATTATGCACGGAGTTCCGCCTAAAGATAAGGTAATAAATGTCCGGCTTTCTTGTATAACAAAATTATAAAAAATCTAATATTAAATTACTTAACACGGGACAACAATCTATTAAAACTAAGAGAAATTAGCATAATTGAAGAAAAAGAGACATTTCATTCACCTTTACATAAAAAGGGAAAACAACAATCGACAATGTTACTGCACAGTACAACATATCACATAAACAGTAACACCAAACTCCGGAAAAAACGTGTATACAAACAAAGACAAACAGCAACGAACAGAAACGAAAAACACATATTTGATATAGCCTGACTAGAGAAAGTCTTCAGCACTTTGAACACAGCGAATTCTATACGGTACCTAGAACTTGATTCAGTGGCAAAAAAAAATGACACATATATCTTTATATTAACACACAAATGTTAACAGTAATAGTAAGTTTTATGAACTACCTGATTTGGAATGTTTTTTGCTTGTTTCAAACCTTTTTCTATCTGTATTTATATAAGACATACTATAAATGTATCAGGTGTTTCTTCTTTAGATCCTCTAATGGACGTATGTTTGGTGCAACTTTTAATAAAAGAAGTCATTAATGCATAAATATACTTATGAATATTCATGGATTAGTAAACTTCTTTAGTTATATAAAGCCCGGGATCGGTTTCATGCTTTTATTTAGTTGTTCGATTGGTTATTTTCCTATATGTGTGTTATAGTCTCGAGCTTGGATAACAATTTTGTTAGGCATTGTAATTTAATTAAAGTTGAATCCTTAAATTAGATACGATACAAAGCAAGATCCGTTTAAATTCATTCATTTGTAAGAAATATCATCCAGAGGGCGGCATATCCACATGACAGTTTCAATGAAGGATCAACTGGATCACGTCTCGACTGTCTTAAAATTTCTTGTCTTCCGTTTACTCTGTGGCAATTTCTTTTGATTTTACTCATAAAGGTGAGGTTTATTTTTGTACATGTACTTTCCAAATTTATTTCAGTATATTTCGTTGACATATTCGAACGCTTGCTGTATGACACTCCTCTGTTTGTTGCCTTCAACAACCAGCTTTAATTTCTGTTTCTGAAAAAAAAAAAAAATTTTTTGGGCCAACTTGTGTTGCCTCAATTCATTCTTATGAACAGGTAAATAAATCAAGCGGATCTAAGATCGAATCTTGCATACACATTATTAACATAACGATTATAACCTTTTATAATTATTCTCCAGTTATATACATTCACTATTTATATATCAACAGGTGTATAATTATATTTCGTATAGGTATTCTTGTCTCAGCTTATGTTAAGGAAGAATATAAATGATGCAAATATATTTTTCCATCCCCTCATGTATAGTTTTCTACAATGTATTCCTCTCTGAATATATTCATTTGATAACATGAGATCGAATAAGAATGTTCGTAACTGGCATCTTATTTATATAAGGCAACATATATATCAAGCTTATAATTCGGGACGTCATATATGTGCTTCATCTTCATAAGATTCACCAGTGCCCTCGAATAAAAACATTTTGAATTAAGTGTTAGAGTTATTTAATACCATAGTTTCAAAAACTTTGTGCTTAATCCAGCTTAAGTCATCTATGTCTGAGGTTAAAAAACATAATTTCACTAATTGATATTTCATGCCAACACCAGTAGGGACAAACATTTAACAGCAGTGTTATCGACCTAGTGGTTGAAACAAGTAATTTTATCAAAGATACCAGACTAGCCTTACAATTTAGAAGGCCGGACACATCTTCGTCTACATAAGACTCAAAAATGGGGATCTAATGAACACGTTTTGAAGGCTTCATAAATAACGAAGTTAAAATGCATTGAAAACCTAAAATTTCGAAAAGAATGCTTTGTTGTATATCCTAAGACATGTCTCATGAACGTCCAATGAATACAACTTAAATCAAGTAAATTATATATAAGTTGCATGATAGGATATGTCTTAGGTGAATTTAGTTCACATGACATCTTATGTATGAAGAACAGTGTAAAAATAGAAAATTAGAGATGGACAAAGTAGGTGATAATCATAAAAACAGATAAAAGAAGAACAAATAACATCCCTCGACCATACAACAAACATACATGGAACAAATAACAGCAAGTATATATTAAGCTTCGAAAATACCTTGTGTTTATAAATCTTATATTTTAGAATCCAGTAGTGATTGAAACGATCTTGAAGTCTATTGCTAACCGAGCTGAACTTCTCGGAGTAATGTCAATCACAAAAGTACTAAGTGAGAAGGCAACACAAAGTCTTGGTGATTTTGAAAAACAATTGATTGTAGATCCACCAGCACTACAAATTGTAGATGAGTAAGTTTACACTTTATGCAGCGTTCATATTTCCAATGTTTCCTTTCTAAAGTATTATTAATATTATTAGTTAAATAGTGTGCTAGTGACCTAATACGATATATATGGAATTTACTGACCCCATGACATCGTATTAGGTCACTAGCATACTGTGTGATGAATTTCTCTTACCGATTATTTTAACATGTGGTATTTAGACTAGTGGCCTATCAAAGGGATTAAGTAAGTCTTCAATACTTAGCATTAAGAACCTACTTCCATTGGTCTATACAAAAACAAATGCCAACAATAACAACTAGTTAGCTTTAAATGTGTTTTATGAATTTATCTCACTCGTTTATCATGAATTTCTTCGTCTGTTGAAATCTTTCAGATTTTCCCTCAACACCGTGTTGTTGTCGAGCCTGCAACTTCTGTTGCAGAAAGCTCGACATAGGGATAGTGATCCGGCGGCTGCGGCGTTAACTAACTACTTAAAAGCTTTATATTTTAGAAGGTGGAAGAGCTGGATGCTTCATACTTTGTATATAGATGCCTTATGTTATGAAGTATGTCAATTGTCCTTGACTTCATTTTCATGGTTCAGCGACTACTTTAAAAAAAAGTTCAGATTTTTTGTAATGTTAATTTCTCTCTTATTATGAGTAATATGCTTACTATATTTAGTATGTGCGTACATTGCAAGGTCCTTGTGCCTGTTAGATAGTTTTCATCTGACCTCGACCTCATTTCATGGATCAGTGAACAAGGTTAAGTTTTCGTAATCATGTCCATATCTCGGATACTATAAGCAATAAGTCTATTATATTTGGTGTATGGAATGATTGTAATGTGTACATGTCACACTGGTAGGTGTCATCTAACCTTGACCTCATTTTCATGGTTCAGTGGTTAAAGTTAAGTTTTTGTGTTTTTGTCTTTTTTTCTAATACTATATGCAATAGGTCAACTATATTTGGTGTATGGAAATATTTTACGATGTTAATGTCAGTCTGGTTTGTTTTATTTGACCTTGACCTCATTTTCACGGTTCATTGCTCAGTGTTAAGTTTTTATGTTTTGGTCTGTTTTTCTTTTACTCTAAGCAATAGGTCAACTATATATGGTGTATGAAAAAATTGTAAGGTGTATATTTCTGTCTGGCAGGTATCATTTGACCTTGACCTCATTTTCATGGATCAGTGAACAAGGTTAAATTTTTGTAATCATGTCCATATCTCGGATACTCTAAGCAATAAGTCTATTATATTTGGTGTATGGAATGATTGTAAGGTGTACATGTCTCACTGGCAGGTGTCATCTAACATTGACCTCATTTTCATGGTTCAGTGGTTAAAGTTAAGTTTTTGTGTTTTTGTCTTTTTTTCTAATACTATATGCAATAGGTCAACTATTTTTAGTGTATGGAAATATTTTGCGATGTAAATGTCAGTCTGGTTTGTTTTATTTGACCTTGACCTCATTTTCACGGTTCATTGCTCAGTGTTAATTTTTTTTGTTTTGATCTGTTTTTCTTAAACTCTAAGCAATAGGTCAACTATATTAGGTGTATGAAAAAATTGTAAGGTGTATATGTCTGTCTGGCAGGTATCATTTGACCTTAACCTTATTTTCATGGTTCATGGGTCAATGTTAAATTTTCATGGTTAAGTTTGTTTCTTAAAATGCTATAAGCAATATATTTCAACTATATTTAATGCACCGATTGGTTGTAAGGTGTACTTGTCTGTATGGCATTGTTTACCTGGCCTTGATCTCATTTTCATGGTTCATTGGTCAATGTTAAGTTTTCCAGGTTAAGTTCTTTTCTAAGAAACTATAAGTAATAGGTCAGCTATATTTGGTGTATGGAATGATTGTAAGGACTGTACATGTATTTCCGGTTTGGCTTATCTAACCTTGACCTCATTTTCTTGGATCATGTTAAGTTTATGTGATACTTGTAGTAAAGCTTTATATTTAGGACTATCAACATACAATCAGGTCAGTAAAGCAGGCGAGACATTTCAGCATGTGCACTCTTGTTTTTATAAAGAGACGTAACACCACTACTTATCGTGTATTGAAATAAGCCCCGCCTACTAACCCCATATGAAAGCCTCTGTTACGAATTTATTAAAACTGCTTGATCAATGGTTCGAAATAATGTGATTTTTAGCATACTAATTAGTATATATGTTGTGTACAAGTTATCATTTTGTACAAATTATAATGTGTACAAAAAAATTGTACAAATTATAATTTGTATTTTGACTTTGTACAAATTGTAATTTGTACAAAAAGTGCTTGTACAAATTAAAATTTGTACAAAATTTTACTAAAATTCACTTATAACTTGTACAATAATTAATAGTATTGATTTTGTTATAAAAAAACATTGATACACATTATATTTTTTTTATTCAATGACCACACAATTAACCTTATTTACAAAATACAAAAAATAGTTCTGTATCATTTGTTTGAGCATGTGAGTGAATTATGGCATCGAGAATTGCACAATATCTTTTGCTTTTTACATTAACATGTGCTGCTCCCCTTTTACATTTACATGAAATAAACCCCCGACCACCAGTTTCTGAAAGCTTTATAACTGTAAGCTGCGAAAAAATTGTGTCTTTAACAGCTTCAATTTGATTTCTCGACCAATATCATGCTAAAATTCCTACAACTGTTCCAATAGACCTACGATATTTCGACTATCAATTGGGGCACGATCATACTGAGGAATTGGTATAATGACATTATCCCCCACAGCAAGTTCTGGGGCCTGTTTATCGAAGCAGTCTTAGGATTAGGACGTGTCCTAAGACCAACTTGAGACATATCTTAGTCCTTACTGGGTTTATCAAACATGTCGCAACTTAGGATAATCCTAGGAATTGTCCTAACTTTAGGATACTAATTTAGGTGTCTTAAGATGGTCTTAAGATGGTCCTAACTTTAGGATATATTTAGGATGGTTATTTTATTAATAAATATGGCCTGTGTTGGTTTCATTTACTTTAATGCATATTGAATCCCTATCTCTCTTTTCAGTACCATTAGTTGCAACATTTGATAGTTTACTAAAATGCAGAGTTTTACTCTTTTCCACTTCGTTCAGAAGAGTCTGTAGTTCTGCATCGGTAAAATGCGGATTTCCTCTCTTGCTCATATTTTTTTTTTTTGGCAGTAATAACATAGTTGATGACTCCGTATTTATATGAAAGATGCACAAGATTTGCCTTTGAACTTTTAAGTATGAAACCATGACACGTCAAAATCAGCTAACCCAAAGCATATAATGACTTTACCAATTATATATTTAATTTTAACTATTTACAATTAGTTTGTTCAATTCTTATATAAAACGTAATCCTAAGATAGCTTCGATGTGCATGCTGAGACATGTCGTAAATTGGTCCTTACTTACCCTAATTTCAGTCCCAAAAAATTCTTAGGACAGATCTTAGGACAGTTTCTATAAACAGGCCCCTGATGATAAACGTTTCCTTTTCTTGTTTAGATATTCGGGTTGGATCAGTTTGCCAGATAGAGCACGCTTCCTGACACGTATGATCAAGGTGTTTCAACGTCAGTGTCATCCTGATTGTCACTCGGGCAATTTTCTATTATACTATCAGAATTGTCACTGGGCTAATTTCTATTATACTATCAGAATTGTCGGTGGAACCAATTTTTTTTTTTTCTATCAGAATTGTCACTTGGGCCAATTTCTATGCTGTTAGCAGAATTAACTGACATGCATGTACATTTCCTGTCTCCATCTTGGTATTTTTTTTGTTTTTTGTAAATAAGATTTAGTTTGTGTTCATTGAATACAAACTCTATATCGTGTATCATTGGTATTTTAAAACAAAATCCATACTTAAAATTATTGTAATAATTAAGTTATAAGTGAATTTTAGTCAAATTGTGTACAAATTGTAATTTGTACAAGCACTTTTTGTACAAATTACAATTTTGTACAAAGTCAAAATACAAAATGATAATTTGTACACAACATATACATACATATATATTTATTTAATTTTCTGTGTAGTAAATAAAAAATATACTTTATCAATTTGGTGCGTCTGAGGCGCTATAAAAATATAAAGTTATGCACTAATGTTTGGTAAAGTTGTCTTTTTATAAAAAAAAAATAATAATAGATAGAAAACAATCGGCTTCGCATGCATTTTATAAAGAGTGAGACCAGATTCATCGGATGATCAGCATTTTTATGCCCCTGCCGCTAGGCGAAGGGGTCATTAAGTGTTACCCTTGTCCGTCCCGTCCGTCCGTCGCGTACGTCCCCAAAATTGGTTTCAGTTCTTAAACTCTACTTTTCATCAAACAAATGTTATAACACTTATATACAATGCTTATTACCACAAAACATAGATCAAGTTTGAAATTGGGTGGCGTGTCACTTTTACTTTTCATGAGTTATGCCCCTATATAAAAATAAAATTTCTGAATTTTTTTTTTCTGTTCTCTAACTTTAGTTTGCTTCAACCAAATGTTATGAATCTTATGCACAATTATTATTACCACAAAACACAGATCATCTTTGAATTTCGGTGGCGTCACTTTTACCGTTCTAGAGTTGTTCCCCTTTACAAATGAAAAAAATGTTGAAATTCTCGTTTCCGTTCTCTTACTTTAGTTTGCCTCAACCAAATGTTATGAATCTTATACACAATTTATATTACCACAAAACACAGATCAAGTTTGAATTTTGGTGGTGTCACTTGTACCGTTCTAGAGTTATTCCATTTACAAATAAAACAAAATGCTGAATTTTTTGTTTCCGTTCTCTAACACAAATTTGCCTCACCCAAATGTTTTGAAACTTATACACACTGCTTGGCTATAAAAGGCCCCGATATTTAAAAAAAATGAAACAATTCAATTGCGAAAACTAACGGCATAATTTATAACAAAACAATTGTTCAGTATGTTATTTCTGTTTTCTATATGTGTGCTCGCGATACAAGTTTATATAGCCTTGTGTGACTATTGAAAGGGATGTTGTCGCTATTTTTTAAATGTGTAGCAGTTATAGTTTAAATAAGCGTGATTTTTTACTTCTGAATAGACTGTGGCAGTCAAATTATAGGTCGAAACATAAGTTAAGAGGCAACAGTAGTGTACTTATGTTCAAAATTCATAAGCCATACAACATCACTGTAATAAAACTTTCTACTTTATTAAAGATTCTAATATATTTCTGTTGTTGTCTATTCAGTGTTCCGCTATTTTGGTTTCTTTGTAGATTTCGACAAAGCTTACGGAATGTTGGTAAAACAATTGACGATCGCAACAAAAGAAGGGAACATCCATATGAATGGCTTCATCCTTCAGCGATACCTAATGCCATTAGCATATGAAGTTATGTCTACGTTAAATTAACTGAAGCATATCATTCAAAATATTTACTGTACTGACTTCTGAGGATCAACTTATATTTGTGAATGTGGGTTTTAATTATATGATTTGACATCAGCATGGCTTTGTATGTTTCTTCAAATGATTGGCACACTTTACCTACTTGAAGCAGCATCATAATTATTTTTCGGTGTCCAATGGAACTGGACTTTTAAAACAAATAACTAGCAAAAAGTAAAATAAAAAAAAATACCGAACTCTGAGGAAAATTAAAAACTGAAAGTCCCTAATCAAATGTCAAAATCAAAAGCTCACAAACATCAAACGAATGGATAACAACTGTCATATTCTAGACTTGGTACAGGCATTCTCTTATGTTTTCTTATATTTATCAAAAGTGGTTTTTTTTGTATTCAAACAAGTTGCTTATTCAACAAAAATAAATAGCATAGATTTTGTGGAACGACTCAAATTGATTTGTGTTGAAACACATGCTTTCTTGTTTTATATAAGGTAACAAAACTTGTAAATACTAGAATATGTAATTTGTGTGTCATTGATTTTGATTGATAAAAACCGGTTAACGTAATTCTTTGAATGCTGTCGTAATTGCAAATCTAAGTTCAGCTTAAATTATACTTCAACAGTAAAAACTGTTGACATTTTGAACATGTGTTAATCTTCTTTTGAATGTCTGTCGGTGTATTTGTCACTTTTTGGGGATTTTTTTATGGGTGGATGTTTTATTCCTCTTTTCGGTATCTTGTATACTTATACACAATATAAAATAAGAAGATGTGGTATGAGTGCCAATTAGACAACCCCATCCAAGTCACAATGAATAAAAAGTTAACAATTATAGGTCAAAGTACGGCTTTCAACACGGAGCCTTGGCTCACACCGAGCAGCAAGCTATAAGGGGCACCAAAAGGACACAACGCTTATTATAGCAAAAATCAGATCCAGTTCGAATTCGGGTTGCATCACTTTTACGATCTGGAGTTATGCCCCTTTGTAAGTGAAAAAAATGCTGAAATTTTCGTTTCCGTTCTCTATCTTTAGTTTGTCTTAACCAAATGTTATTGAACTTATACGTAATGCTTATCACCACAAAATAGATCAAGTTCGATTTTGAGTGGCGTCACTTTTACAGTTCTTTAGGTTATATGCAAGCGGGCATCATCTGTGTCAAATGGACACATTCCCCGTTTATTTTCCCAATTGTTTTATCCGGGATTATATTACAATAGTTTGGCAGTGAAGGGGGACTTCATGAGTACACCATTCATTTGTTAGCTCATAGAGACAATAAACCCACTTCGAACTGTCTCCCTCTGGCTCATATCTCTTACCTACCGGCTCTATGTTGAAGGGTATACAATTATTTCTTAGGGTTCACTCTTGCCATTTAGAGGAATCCCCGTCCACTTCTGGTAACAGAAGGGAGTTGTCATCTCCACAGTACACGTAATTCAGGTTGTTAGCAATTGAAAAATCGGAGGGACTGTTGTTTTTTGAAGAATTGTGTGTAAACAGAGACTGTGCTCCGTCCAGTCCATTTTGGCACGTAGAAAGAATATTTTATATGTTATCCTTACACGAAAGCTGTTCAAAAATGGTTATACTAGATAAGTGTTATGGTCATCGTCACGAATTGGTTAACAGATAAGATCTGTCAGTGTATCAACTCAATAGCGACATGTTTTCATGTTAGATCTTTAGACACCAAAATAGTTGTCTAATCTGTCATTATACCGATTGTGTTCTATTCCCGATAGTGACATTTGGATAAGTGTAGATTCGAAATGCGGATGATGCATCCATAGCATGAGATGTTTACCTTTTCGACGGGTCCGGTCTCGGTCATTTTTTGTTACTATTTTTGAACCTTAATTTGTATTATCTTCATCGAGTTTTGAATATTGATTAACCACTATTGCCTGAATAAAGTCCTTTCATAATATGATATTACCCAAAAAAGGGTTCTTGTATTAAACAAAATTTTACTTAAGCCCTATAGCTATATATTCTAGCTAAAACCCTTAGGCAAGGACAATCCTAATCTGTTTCCAGATTTTACAGACAACAGTGATAACAGCAACCGTCTGTGAGAATCGTCAATAGATTACGGATTATTCGATACTGAATCTTATCAATCAGAAACTGATATAATAGAAACGTGTCGAAAACTCGTAAAAGACACTTTTTTTGCATTTAACTAGAACTTACGCTAAAATACAGCCATAGTGGAAACTATTTTGAACTGAATGCAATAAATGAGTTGTTGATAAGAAGAGAAATTTATTTGCATAAAATTAAGAAAAAAGCAAATTACCTGACTTCAATTCAAATTGTGTCCACTTTTTCTTCTCTGATAAAAAGAATTTATTTTGAACTTCAATTCGAATTTTCTACCACCTAAATAGGTAGATCATTCTGGACACAAATCTTTATCATTATGTTCATCTTTACTTTGTCCCTAATGTTCTTTGTGTAGTTTAGTCAAATACTCATATTCTCTGGCGACGGTTATGTGTTTTGAATAGATATAAGAAGATGTTGTATGAAGGCCAATGAGACAACTCTCCATCCAAGTCAATGTTTATTAAACACACAGGCGCTTTGGGCATTGACTCCCCTTTTTTCTTTTTAATTTTCTGTTTGCTTTTATGTGTTGTAGATTTTTTTCTTTAGCATTTCTTTTAATTTTCATGCATTCATTTGTTTGTGTCGATAAACTTTTACAATAGATGTAGATTTAATGTACTGCACCCTGTTCGTTTTCCGTGTTTGACAAATGGTAAGTACTCTGTGCTTTGGGCACCTTTTTTAATTACACCTAAATATAAGAATGGTGATTTGTCTGATCTTAAAAATTGTAAAACTTTTAAATACAATATTAGACAATTTTGTCGGAAATGTCTCGTCAAAAACAATGTGATTAATACTGCAAAATATCTAAGAAAAAGAGACGATACATTAAAATAAAACCAAACTCAATAAAATAAGTACATTATAATAATAATGATTTTTACACATTAAGGTGGTACCTAACACTACGGGGAGATAACTCTGTAAAAATCAGCTAAACGTTTTAATTACGTTGTATTGTTAAGGAAATATTAAGCTTCTCAATGATCAAAATTAGTGTTTGTCAAACTGCTATATAACCAATGAAATTTTTCTGATAAAATAGTTGGTTCAAATTTTTTGAAATTTTTATATTTTTGTCAAAGGGTCAAAGTAAACATTTTGTCAAAATTTTATGAAAATTAAACGAGCCAAATTAATATTAGTCAAGGTGTTGGGTACCACCTTAAATATGGTTACATTGTGAATGTTTCTATCCTCTATTCTTGATATATAGCTTTAATTATCTTATTATTAGTATTATCCCTATTAAATAAAACGATTTCACTACCCTACAGACTTAGTTTTTATATCTTAATCACTAGTGTCAATTGATTCGGTTCTTGCAAGTCACCCATTAAAGAACACGCATCCTGATATTCCTGTAGCTATCAAAGTAATTTACATTTGTTGTCTTATTAGACATATTATTACGGTTCAGGTCTGTAGACCTCAAACTGTTATAAGACAAAATTAATATTATAGGACAACCTTGGTATCAGGTTTTATATTTCTTTCTACTGGTATTGTAGATACAAATACTGGTTTTAACCATTGGTAGCATGGCAAAGGCACTGGACAATGAAGGATAACAGAGTCAAAATCAACTCTCAATTAATTTAATATGTTCAAATAGATGATAATTCATACAAATTTATAATGTAAAAACTCCAGAGCAATAAACTGTACAGAGACACCCCTTTGAACGTCAAGCTTCAATCATGGTGTTTGGTATTTCGGTTGTAAATGCACTCTAGACGTAGTAAAATAATCTAGGTCACACAGGACAGTCTATATATTATAAGGAGAAACCTGCTCAGAATAATCTGGTGGTGATTTGTATGGATTGCGGGTGGTATTGCTCTGGTATTTAAGCACAGGGTTAAGGTATAATAAGTCCCTGGTATCGGGCTGCAATCTTAGAACCAGAGCAGACGAATGGTGTCCTTTTTTATACTTAGAGCCCACAACCCACATCCCCATGGTATAAGTGAGCCATTCTACGGTAATTGATTGGTTGATTGCCCACAAGGTTATAGGTCGTGTGTCGTCTTTTTTTCCCATGGCAAGCACATGCGGACACAAGGTAAATAAATGGCGGCCTCCAGTAAACGTAGGATAAGTCTAGGGAATAAAAGGAAAAGTGGACGATGGAAGCTTTGCATTAACAAAGGATATGCCCAGTTACAATATATATCCCTTATATAAATATACGATAAAGGTGAGAAAGCGTGACAATGATAACCCGGGGAGAAATAAAGCTGGGAACATGTCGGGACCCCTCTTTGGACAAACAGTGAGACGAACTCTATATTGTATCATTCCCAATAAATATAACAATAAATACATACAATAAAAATATAATTCGGACACGATACCTGAAATATAACAGTGTTCGTACATACAATCTCAGTCACACAATAAATTATCCAGACTGTAACGGCCGCGACAGGGAGCAAAGTAAAACAGAAAAAGTGCAGTCTGGATAATAAGAAAAGAATAATCATGGCTTTACATAAATATACTTATTACCCTTAACCCTTACCTTTATTTGTAACAATATGTGTATTCATAAACTATACCAGCAACTATCTACTTATCAAAAAAGTACGGTTTTATACAAGTATATAACATGTGTAATGGAGAAAGCTCTACCTGCTTATCAAACGCCACTTTTTGATATTTAGGGCTGGGTCACTACTGGTAGGCTTTAAATGATTCCAGATCTATCGTTTAAAAATTATTATTCATTTTGTTTTGTAACAATATGAACAGGTATATTTTTGTAATCAAATTGATACTTTTGCTGATAAATGATCGAAAATGTTCAAATCATTATAACATTGTGCGTCCGAAAAGCATTTTTAGATACAGCTTCTAATGAGCGATCCGGTTGGTTTCTTTTTGCAAAGATTATATTTCATGGATTTATTATCAAAGAACAATGCATACCGTACGAAATGAATAAAAGGTGAGTATACGTTAATTAGACATCAATTCTACGCACAAAAATCAGAAATATATATACATTTCGAGGTTTTTTTGGCTTTTGTTAATTTGTCATTGTGAATGGTCTTTATTTATTTACACAAAGTCCCGTTATTTTATAACTATATATTATTTGAATATGTAAAGTCAAAATAATGGAAAAGGTACTTGCAGTATATATAGATAAATCTTTACGAGTGCAATTGTCAAATATATAATATCACAGTGGTATCGAATACAATCAAAGACAAATTTATACATGCTACATATTTCACTGAATCACAATTAAGAAAATATTTTAATGTGTTTGGTTGATTGATAATTGTTATTTACAAATATCCAGTGGCTTATATATGACATGTGTCCATACGATGAAAGCAACTCATTATGACACCAAGCGTCATTCTGAAATAGAATTGATAATAGAATATTCAAGAAAGCTTGTACAAAAGGAAACATCAATTGACAAATTAATAAGTACTACTGTATACAATATTTCACATGTGTTAAAGTCTTTCTCCTTAAGATATAATCGTTCGATATAGGAATCAATATGCATAACGTACGTATTGGAAAAACGTAGCAGAAAGTTTCCTCAATTACAAAAACAAAACATTAAGATTTAGCCAACGACTATTTCTGACGAGGCCTATGTCCTTATGTCAGGCATTAACATGTAACAGGGTTTAACTTTTTTCTAAGATTGTCATCGTCATATCAACCCGTTGAAATACTCGACATCTGTTATTTTTTTTATTTTTTTTTTTATTTTTTATTACATGAAGAAAAGAATACATCTAAGCTAGATTTGAACACAGTTGTTATAGTCCCATTTCCATTTTTTTATTAAAGAAGTATGTCAAGTCCTATGTACAATTAAAAGAAGTAGATACAGGCAATAGTAGTATACTGCTATTCAATTCTTAGGACATTCTTAACACATATATTGCTTGATTGATATTTGCATTAAGCAATCATAATACAAACCGGAAGGTGACTTGATAAGTTTAGGTCAAACTAATCAACGTCGGTTCATACATTATGACGTCTTTCATATGTCCGGGTCTAATTGTATATAAGTTATTAAGGCTGGGTCAACGTATTTGACCCCACAAAGCCGTGATATGCAATTTTATTAAGAGCTGAGCAGAATGATACAGACAGTGAACGATAAATAATAGATTATATTTTACCATTTGTTAGTAACCTTAAAATGTTAAATTTCATCTACACTATTTATCTTGAACGTAGAAATCTGCAATGTCAAGATATAAAACTGTAAAACGAAGTTTATTTTTTTTATCAATTGAAAAACTATTTAAGGTTGTCTCTCTTATGGTAACATTTCTCTCCATCCACATCATATCCATGTATCTGTTCTTATATGTAGTGAACAATAACCGGAATGAATTTTACGCCAAATTTAATAAAAATCTACATTCTACATTGATGATCAAAACAGTGATAATAATGTACAATATATATACTGTCCAGGTTTAAAAAGAATTGTGTTCATGTGTTTTCTTTGTTTTTTTAATTTACATTTAAAATAATGTAATTTTTTAAACGAAGGTTGCAACTCTCCACCGAAACATCATTTTAAGACGATTGTGATGGTTGTATGTATGCCATTATTGTGATTTGTCCAGTCAAACGTTTCATATTGTTTGGCTTTCCTAAACTTTGGTCACAAGCGTACATAAGGAATAATAAATTAAAGAACAACAGGATTGATTTATTGTTGGTGTTAATTGCCACTTTCAGCAGATGTGGGCATATCATGGTGATCCTTTTCTCTGAATGGAAACTGGAGAACATTCGAACATAAGTGGGAAACCTAGCAATCATCGTCATAAAAATATGAGTCGAACGCTCCTTGTCCAGGTGGTTTCTAACCAACAAGTGCAGTTTTAAAGGCTAATGATCGATCACTGAAGAAGAAATACTTAAACATATTGGTCAACAAGGCCCAGGGCATCAGGAATAATCTAACATTTTAACAGTATAATACCACACAAAACACCAAATACCCACTCTCTGGAAAAGTATACGTACAAGCAAAGACAACAGCGAACTTACTTAATTCAGAAACACGTGATTGCACTGTAATCTTATCATTTTCCTTTCTGATTCGCCTTGTACATGTTCCAATACTTGTTTGGACTCTTTGCATATATTTAATAGTACGGACTAACTTAACATTTGAACATAAAAACCACTAAGCTTTGGAAAATGGAATTGATACATAAACTTTTTAAGTTATGACAGTTCCTCTGCGTATGCATATCGACAAATGCATACAACGTCAAAATAACTGTTAGAAACTTATCAATCAGGGTCACAAAGGCAATTAGTTATTCTCTGAATAAAACTTTTGAAATATGTTCTTCCATGCAAATATGTATCTCAAATGAATGTTTTAAATTTGTAAAAAAAAACATATGAGCCAGTCTATGCAAAAAGGTACAAAAACAGAAACTTTGCGAAATTCTAAAAATTGTGCATAATTATTTGTAGCAGATTTTTGATCTATTAAACACAGTTACTTTTGCTTATACGATTAAGCTGTAAGCTATACACACCTATCAGTGCTGACGACCCCCCCCCCCCCCCCCCCCCCCCTTTTTCCCTTTTCTAAAGATTTGGGTCAATTATTTTACATTTGTTATTCATTTTTTGTGTATAACTTAAAGATATTCACTTGCCACTTCATTATGATAACTCGGGTAGCAGTGGGGATAAAGCTCTCGCTTACAATGTCGAAATCAATGACTTTTTAATGGGGCAACGGTTCGAATCTGGTCCAAGGACGGTTGATTTGTATGATAATGAATAACTTTCCTTAATAGAAATTACAATTTCAAAAACACAAGATGACATCATTTCGGCATTTTCCCTTACGTTTAACAGCTATGTTCCGTTCTTTAGTCATAGGTAGAGATGACGAAAATTGTTGACCTTTTCTCTCTTTAGTGTCGTACGAAATGGTTTAATTTCGGATCAGTATAGCATTGTTCTGGGTAACAAATGATTTTAAACTTACCTAAGTACCAAAAGACAGAATTGACAATTTTATGAATGTTTACCTTAATACCAATAAGAACGGATAAAATCGTTTTTCAAAAATATTTTAACCAATTTTTTAAGAACGTGTTCTGTAAAATTTATCGAAAACGCTTTTTTGCATGGAGTGGCTCATATATATTTTAAGAGTAAAACATTTTGTAAAAAAGATATGTCAAATTTAAAGAAAACAAAATTTATAACATTAAGCTGTTAATTTTCATTTTGACACTGAATTCTCTCTTGTTCTTTGAAACCCGTTAAAGTTTCCTCATCAATAAAGGTTAACAAAAAACGTATTTTTTTAAAAACAATTCATCTAAAATTGTGTTGGTTATTTTTCTATTGCATGGTCTTTTGATGACGAATATTTTGTTTCATTTAGGTATAGGCATAACATTTCTTTTTTTTAAATGATCAAAAATGGTTCAAAAACGACGAATCCTATTAACCAATTTTAACGCAAAGGTTTCACAGCATGTACATCAAAGGAGTCGGTACACGAAGGTAAACATTAGCCCAAAAATTAAAAAAATTCTAGATGTCTAAGCAATGTAATTATCAAATGTATTTTATACAAATAGGAAGCAAAATTGTCATGTAAGCAGTTAAATGTGAGCATAACAAGTTAACATTTGGTTCCAACTAATTTATCAAAAATTGGTTAACGTCTAAATAGACGTTTAAATAACTAGATATACTAACCATTCGTTTGTTTCTGGTTTCCCAAACTTTTCATTATAGTACTTGGCGAGGTCAATGTCCATGTTTCGTGGATCGCAGGCATCTGAGGACCTCCATGTGAATCTTGTCATTTGATTGATTCTTTCCTTTTGCCGTGGACCAATATAAATAGTTAATTTCAAAGTACAGTTGTCTTTAGCTGTCCGTAGTGTAATCTGCATTGATCCTGTGAACAGATACAGCTATATATAGCATTATTCTGTTTTACCCCGGTATAGAATAACTCATTTTTCATTATGTTTTTACTTAATGAAATTTTAAGCATGAGCACATTTTAGCACCATTGCAATGTACTATAATGGCAATATGATTCAAATTTCAAATCTAAAATTAATGCAATAACCTGATAGAAACAGGTGTAAGCAATCCTAAAATGCAAACCTAGACGGTGTTTGTCTTCTATAATAAAGAGTTAAATTCATATTTATTAGATTCCACTTGACATCCGCCTGTTATTTTGATTTAAGCGTCACTGGTGAGTCTTTTGTAGATGAAACGCGTGTCTGGGTTTCAAAACTATGAGCCTGGTATCTTTGGTGATTTTTGTTTGTTTTTTTTTTTTATTGCAAATTATTTGATGACCAAATAATGTTCTTTTGTTGGTAAACGATGTGTTAGTGTTCAAAGTCTGTTTGATTCAATACAAAACATCAAATATAACTTGCATATGAAGGACGATAACTTGTCAATGTCAAATGAATATGGAAGCTGCTCCTACCGAGCCGACATGCAGCACCGGACACATCATATGATTGCGAAACCACCAGTCTGCCTTTACTTTTAATATGGGGGAAAACAGCAAATACCTGTTCTTAAATCTAAGGTTTCACGCGACTGTGATCAAACTCATGACTTTTGGAACGCATTGTACAGACACTAACACTAGACAATCTAGTCAGGTAATTAGGAACATAATAAACTGAAACATAAATATATGACTACGCACATTTCTTACAACAGTGTGGGAGCGTACATGAATTATCTATCATACGTTATTAATTACTTTTGTTAAAATAGCATATACGTACCAGTATTATAATTTGTAGACATGTTTCGTGTAGCCGATATCTGTAACAATGCCTCTTTTGTAAGTGCTGATAATTCCAGAGGTCCACCAAAATGAGCGAGTAAAAGCTTAAGTAGTAATAATACCGACAATAAGTTTCACAACATACATTCACACATTTCTAACATTAGACCAATTAAGATTAGTTAAATAAACTCATGAAAAACACAAGGCTTATGACATACAAATGTGTACGTCAGACGCGCATTTAGTTTACTAAAATCTTATGAATGACGCTAGAATACATTAAAAGTTTTTAAATTGCCAAATCAATTACGAAATGGAAGACCATTGAGACCCAATATTCCAAAATGTCGTGCCAAAAAACTGCTACGGTGATGTATTCATGGGGTAGAATATCCTTACAATTTCGAAAAATTCAAAGTTTTGTAAACAGTCAATTTATATACATATATAACCATATCAATGATATTTCATTTCATCACAGAAGTGTTGACTTCTTGACTGGTTATACTTTCGGGGTAATAAATACATGTTGTTGCAAAATATATTTTTAGGGAAAGCCTTGGCTCATGTATAAATATTGATGATAACATCTCAATATGAGGCTATTTGGAAGATTTTACAGTTTGTCACAACCATTAGATGTTTGAAGCTTTAATGCAAATATATAGTTCAAGATTTAAAGATACTAATAATATTTGTTGATAGTTTTTGCCTCATACACATCGGACATATGTAATTTGGCAGATTTATAATATTTTTTTTTTCATACTGCATATACTGATAGAAAAATAGTGGCCGTATCATACCTTCCCCTTTTTGATTTTGACAATTCAGTATATTGTGGAACAGATTGTTTAATATGATCAATTATATCAAGCAGTATCATAAGTAATTACGTAAGTGCATTTTTTTGAATAATGAAGAGGGAACATGCAGCATAAGACAAGACTGTGACCAAAAGGAAAATTAAAAAAATTCTAAGAAAAGTCAACAAAACATAGTAAAATAAAGATTGATAAGCAGTATTTGGACATGTCTAAAACGATAAACCTATTTTCAGATGTGAGCAAAAGAATGAATCTACAGGACACATCGTTATGGTGAACGAAAATGAATGGAAACAATTAAGTCCCACGGCTCAAAGACATCAAAAAATAGACGTGAAACATTTTTGAATATTTTTTCGTTATAATTCACATAATTTGCATAACTAATACTTACCTGATGAAGACTTATTCTAAACTGGGGTTTGCGCATACTACAATTTAAAAACAATATTGGTATATTATGTATATTATATATGTTTAATATGTTAGTATAATATTGTCCTAGTGGGTGACAATTTCACTTTTCTTTGGGGTTCGGTATTTTCGTTATTTTACTTTTTTTTTCTACTTGTTTTATCAGCACATGCAGTTCCCAATACTGTAGTTAGTGTCGGCAAGAACTGTTGATGATAGTATACAAATTGATTTGTTAACAAAGAATCGATCAAAAATATGAAAACTTTGCATTATAAACATATGTTCATTTATTGCGGACCAAATGCGTGATTTTGGAGTATATTTCATCGAGTAAAATTTCCGTTTAATTTTGAAACTAAACGCCACATAAAAAACAATTTACTTTTACCGCAGCTAGTATTTTAAACCATTCCAGGATTTAATATGGTTAATCTTACATTTCAAATTTCCACAGTAAACGTTCGGTACAAAGCGCTTCATATCACATCATTCAAATATAGAAAACAAACCTTTAAAAATAAATTGTTTTGCATCCCTGTATTATTCAAGCAAAACTTATTATTTTTGGTAGAAAGCGAACGTCAAACTATACACTGAGCATGCAGAATTCATTCATTTGCACAGAACTAACACTTTTCTTTCATCAAATGCACTCATTGTTTAAACTCAATTTAAAAAGCTTCTTATAATAAAGTTTACATTACCCTATACTCTGAATTAATATTTATGCTGACGTATTACTTAAGTGCATTAATCCGATAATAAATTAGAGAGTCTTGATAGTACGTTTTTATTGTTATAATGATATAAATACAATTTACATGGGTTAAGATTGGTTAAAGCGGAAAATTTTCAAAATTTGATTTCCAATATGTTACTATTTATACATGTTTTATGATTGAAACGTGTTAGAACAATAATTTCTGGATTTCGATATATTGGTTCCTTTAATTTAGGAAAGCGTGGGTTTCGTTTTAATATACAAATAAAAGGTTATGCTGTCAGTTCGATGTGTTCACGCCTCTGCAAAAATTTGATATTTTTGTATGCAAATAAGAAATATCATGTTGAGGAAACGTGAAATCTGTAATATGATTAATGAAATTTACCTATAATTAGAATTACAGTAAATCCTGTATTTATTTCTTCATATACATGATATATTGGTAAACAAACAAATGACCTGAATGAGGACAAAAAGTCAAAATTTGAAGAATAAAATATTTCATCAAACAGCAATTGTGTTGTACCTACATGAACAGTGATTTACAACCAAAGAAAAAAAGAGATGTTATATACAATAGCATTAGTAGTCAAATATATGAAGAAAAAAACAATGAACAAATGCATTATAAAATTACGAAGGTAAGTAGAAAAATCGTTCATATAATCGACAGAAATTCACTGAAGACAAAAAATATGTAAATGAATGAATTTGTTTAAATACAGGCACTGTGACATTATAAGGCAAATTATAGAAGTTGTTCCTTCAATTAAATTATACTATTTTCAAATCTGTTTACCAAAGTTTTAAAAAGTACTCAAGAAACAGCACTGTCGAATTTCCATGTGGAGGAGAATGGTGGATTGCATGGAAGGCGTAGTCTTGGACAGTTTTTTTTTTATAAAATCTTTCTTTTAACGTTTACAGTCTATTGTTGATGTTTTGTGCATTTCTTTAACACGGATCGTTTGATACCTCAACTGTTACCTTTATTTGGTTAACTTCTGAGTTGGCTTTGGTTATCTAAAGTGTGTCTACCAAGACGTACATGTGTTTGGATGCATGGTTGGTGTGCTTCTTGAATTTTGCCTCCGTTTCGAGGTTTTTCTACAGATGCACTATCTAAAGCAGACTAAGCAGTGATGTTGGCAAAAGCTTGTTGGACTGAGTCACAGTTAGCTGTCTCTAAATTTGGAATTTTGTAAAAAATACTTTAGAAGTGGATGAGCATGGTGATTGGAAATTTATAGTGATATCTTACGTTACGTAATTGATTTTCTCTTTGAATTATTAAAACTGAATTCTTGCACGTTGGTTGGTTGGATTTCACACGATGCTTATAAAATTGTAATAAGAAAGAACCCTGGAATAATCTCTCTTCATAAAGCGGAGAGTATCTTCAAGACCAAACTGCTAGAAAACATCGATAAAAATTAAAATAAAAGGACTCCTTATGTCCTAACTAAACATCCAATATTATCAAAAAACAGCCTCTGTGTCATTCTTGAACATTGAAAATCAGTTGAAAAATTTCCATGACAATCAAAAATCTTTCCCGAACCTCCAATGGTAGCTTTCAGGCAGCCAAAAAATCTGAAAAAAATCTGTTGTTGCGGGAAGATATGTCTACGACCCCAATGGTATATTACGAAGCCGCTCATGAGGTAACAAACGCTGCAAACTAAGCACACAGATGCATGAGTCATCAAAATTTGTCAGTAAAACAACTATAGATTATGGCATTTTGACATTTCTCCAATGGCAATATGACTGTTTTCACTACAAAGCCCATCCCTCATTACGCAAACACCTTATACAGTCAAAGAATAACCTCGACGAATAGAACCGCATTGAATTTTTAGTAGTTCAACAAAACATCAATGGAATAAGCACCATTATGAAACATATAAAGAACTCACGTGATTATTGAATTTTGTTACAAAAACTTTTGAAACTAAAGAGAGTCATTTGTTGAGCCGAACTACTTGTCAGGATCGATGTATTAATCTTCAGATTTACTGTTGTATCTTTTTCGTGCTGTATCATCAATTATAAACGATCCGATACTTGTTACATTTCCTGTTTGGTTGATTTAGATGGACTCTTTTGTATGTATATTTATTACATTGGGAATATGTGTGTGAGGGTGATGGTGTGTGGGTGCTTTTTTTATCTATTATTTCATCAATCCTATGGTTTTCTTCACTTCAGTTCAATTCTTCAATTCTATCTGGTCGCCTTTTTCTCCTTAGATCTCTAAGATCTTCAATGTCTACACATTGTAGTAACTTGCAACTTGGAATCCACAAAGGAGCGAGCTCGGGTGCGTCAACAGAAGAGATGTCCTGCATGCATCACATACACCAGTTTCTTATTTAAATGTCTTCTTTTCCTTCCTTTAACAGATATTGGAATACACATTTACCTATTCCCTATAGATCTGCTAACACTTGGCTAGCGATAAAACCAGGTTTAATCCACCATTTTCTACATAAGGAAATGTCTGTACCAAGTCAGGAGTATGACAGTTTTTTCCATTCGTTTGATGTGTTTGAGCTTTTTATTTTGCCTTTTGATAAAGGACTTTCCGTTTTGAATTTTCCTTGGGGTTCTTTTTTTTTGTTATTTTACTTTTTGGAACTACATGTACAGTGGGTGGCTCCAATGTTTTCATGCGATAACAAGTTTCATTTTCAAATATAAAAGGGGAAGTCTCTAATTGGTACTTTTGAAAATATTTCAACTGTTAGATTAATTGACTGATTTTTGTTTGCTAAACGTTCAGTTGCAAATATTTCATGAATGTTCAGGACCAGAACAAATTAAGAATAAATACAATATGTAGGTCATGTAATAGAGGCCATCCAGGATGAAGGTCAGGAAAATTTGAACTGCCACTGGAAAATTATGGTAAATTAGATAGGGACAGAAATTTGGCCTTGCAAAAGTCTACCTACGAACTCCTCGAAAGAGTTGTTGCAAAGCCTCTTAATGTGAAGAGATTTTGCACTCTTTCTACACGAGGCATCAAATTTAACGACCCCATTCTGACTTGATGTTACTGCGTACTTGCCAAACCCTCATAGCCAAACGGACGCCCTACTTTGGCAAGGGTTTAACTGCCTCTCGGAAGACCAAGAGTGACCATATTTCTATTCTCCACTCTTATGTGTTCAACTGTTGGATGGACACCTTTTGGACCCAAATTAGGAAAATAATAAAGAGATGATCAAATATTATCACACTTTAAAAGTTGCTTTTTTTTAGAATTGTTTGAGAGATTGTGTGGACACATTGCAAGTATCAATGAAGATACAGATGATACAGATTTAAGTAATCTATATTTAATTTGAAAGGATTATGAATTGTATTGACATTACCTGGTGTCTTCTTAAGTTAACTTTTCTTTGAAGGTCATTTTCTCAGAAACCACTTAGATATATTAAACCAAACTTTGTGTAAATGGTCAAGTGATGATCTTTTCAAAATGACAGTCACTGCCTCCAAGTCGCTTATTTGTGTTTGTATTTACAGCTTTTCTTGTCCTAAATTGTGATGTCATACTCCATATCCTTAGTTTAAGAAATAATTCATTAAAGCCATAGATTTGTTGGAAATTTACACATGGCCTGGGCCGTGATATTCGAATTTTATCCTGAGCGTTAGCCCAGGCCATGTATAAATTTCCAACAAATCTATGGCTTCCATGAATTATTTCGATTCTAATAGGACGAATACGGTCATAAAAAAAACTGAAGCGAGGGTGGGTATGCCGTGTGTGTGGCTGTTCTTTTTTACTCTCTGAATTATTTCGTAAACAACCGCTAGAAAAAATGTGCTTAATTCTTTTAATTCTCAAAACCAACATTTACCATTTTTAATTTACATGTTTTTCTCGTAAGCTACCGTCAAATCCAAAGTTGACATTTCTTAACTAAGGAGCCGCCATTTTGACTTCCTGAAATCAGTAAATATGCAAATAATGCAATAAAAAAGAAAATAAAACAACACCTACCTCAAAAATCCATTTTAATGTAATATTGTACGAATTTCGATGGTTCACGTAACGAAAAAACCTTCAGCTTTAGCGTTTTCATTTGTATGACGTCATGTTTTGAAATGACTTAAATGCGCCAAAAGCATTAATGGAATTTCGCGGAATTTTATGTAATTTTGATTTTGTAGATTTTTCCGAGCTCTTGTGCATTAATTCTTTTTGTTATGCATCCGAATAAGAATAAACGTTCTGTAGTCTTTTTTCAATTGCAATTTTTAAAACAAAAAAATCGGCATAGCGTTTGCAAATAGGTTCCAATACATGTGGATTTACGAGGGAGGTATATTGTAACATCCATTATTATGTATATCTCTGAGTCTGCGCTAAGTATAGATATATCGAGAATTTTATCACGGTGTTGTTTACAAAGCGAAAGAAGCACG